GTGCACGTTTAGGTTCCCGAGCACAAACATCAAGATAACGTTCACTGCCCTGTCCAGTGAGAAGAGGGAAAAACAAGAGGCGCCTGAGTCCCCGGGGAAGGCCGTGCAGCCACACATCTCACCCCTGACCATCAACATTCCAGACACCATGGCCCACCTCATCAGCCCCCTCCCAACCCCCACAGGAACCATCAGCGCTGCAAACTCCTGCCCATCCAGCCCCCGGGGAGCAGGGTCTTCGGGGTACAAGATGGGCCGAGTGATACCCTCTGACCTCAGTTTAATGGCTGACAGCTCACAGCCAGAAAATGAAAAGGAAGCTTCAGGTGGAGACAGCCCAAAGGATGATTCAAAGCCACCTTATTCCTATGCACAATTAATAGTACAAGCAATTACAATGGCTCCCGACAAACGGCTCGCCCTAAATGGAATCTATACGCACATCCCTAAAAATCATCCATACTACAGGACTGCAGACAAGGGCTGGCAGAATTCAATTCGCCACAATCTCTCTCTGAATCGTTATTTCATCAAAGTACCGCGTTCCCAGGAAGAACCAGGCAAAGGTTCATTCTGGAGGATAGAGCCTGCCTCTGAAAGCAAAGTAATAGAGCAGGCTTTTAGGAAAAGACGGCCTAGGGGCGTGCCTTGCTTTAGAACCCCTCTGGGACCGCTGTCTTCTAGGAGTGCCCCAGCTTCTCCCAATCATGCCCGAGTGCTATCTGCTCACTCCAGTGGTGCCCAGAGCCCCGAGAGTCTCTCAAGGGAAGGTTCGCCGGCCCCTCTGGAGCCTGAGCCCGGCGCCTTACAGCCCAAACTTGCCGTCATCCAGGGAGCCCAGTTTGCCCAGAGCGCACCAGGGTCACCTCTGTCCAGTCAACCAGTCTTAATCACCGTCCAGCGGCAGCTACCACAGGCCATCAAGCCTGTCACCTACACTGTGGCCACCCCGGTGACCACCTCCACCTCCCAGCCACCCGTTGTGCAGACGGTTCACGTCGTCCGTCAGATACCAGCGGTGTCAGTCACCAGTGTGGCTGGACTAGCTCCAGCGATCACGTATACCGTCTCTGGACAAGCTGTGGTTGCTCCGGCAGCCATGCTGGCCCCTCCTAAGGCAGAGCCACAGGAGAACGGAGATCACAGGGAAGTCAAAGTGAAAGTAGAACCTATTCCTGCCATCAGCCAGGCCACTCTGGGTGCTGCCGGCCGGATCATCGAGACACCTCAGACCACCCCTGTCCAGACGGTCACCATAGTACAACAGGCACCTCTAGGTCAACACCAGCTACCAATAAAAACTGTAACGCAAAACGGGACTCACGTGGTGCCAGTCCCCACTGCAGTCCACGGCCAGGTGAACCATGCGGCGAGTCCTTTACACATGTTGGCAACCCATGCGTCCGCATCGGCCTCCCTGCCCACAAAGCGCCAGAATGGTGACCAGCCGGAGCAGCCAGAGCTGAAGCGGATCAAGACGGAAGACGGCGAGAGCATCGTCATTGCCCTGAGTATAGACACGCCACTGGCAGCTGTGAGAGAAAAGGGTGTCCAAAACTAGCGACTGGGAGAGTTTTTCTTACTTTAAAAATATCAACTTTGTGGTGCCAAAAGGAGACATCGCCTCCCACCGGTGCAGGGCCCTGCGGTTGGACTTCACCTCTCAGCACTGAAAACACAAAACCCAGGTGGCCTTAAAACTCCTTACTTACTTAAAGACACAAGTCACACTTGAACAAAACCACACACAACAAAACCTGATTCCGTAGACCATGTCTCCCCGCCGAGAACTCGCCGGGCTGCCTTTGGGCTCAGCTTTTAACTACAAGTAAAACTCACAGTCCTTCTGTAAGGACTGAGCACCTCATGTGAGAAGGGTGCGATCAGCGCCTGGTGCAAGCAAGTGCATCTCCCAGGACTGGGCCTTCCTCAAGAGGATGAGGCAGGGGCCACCCCGCTCACTCGCTGGCAGGACCCACCAGCTGGCGCTGGGAGGCAGGACAGTGTTTTGCTGTTCACATGTGTAATTAGAATATTTCGAGGTTTACTTTCTCTACAAAATAATGGGGTCTTTGGCATTTCACATCACTCCATTTCTACTCTGGAAATTTTGGAATCACCCGGGACCTTTCATGTGGATTTCATCTGGGGAAGAGAAACAGCGTAGTTTTGTTTTTGTTGTTTTCGACCTATGGAATGATTTGCTTTTGTCTGTCTTGTTAAAGTTCAGATGGAGCTACTTTATGACATCTGCAAATTTTCCATGTTAGAACAGTTGCCTGACGAGTTTAATCCACCTCCATTTCAGTGCACGGGACGGATGGATGGACACTGCGGCACGTGTAACCATGAGAACCCAGGGACAAGCCCATGTCGGGAACTGCCGGGACTCAATCCGAGCTGCACTTAACCGTTCTCTTTCTTGCTGTTTTTCGTTGTTTGTTTCTTTGTGTTGATTTTGTCCCTGGCAAAATTTTCCACTCTAAGTAAAACAAGTCTCCTAAGTATTGTGTATGTTTAAAAAAAAAAGAAAAGAAAATGAGTTAATTGAATCAAGTTGCAAAGTAAGGAGCCCTACTACTTATGTTTTGGAAGAAGATGAACCTCAATTCCTTGAAGAAGTTGACTACAGTACAGAAAGTAATGATGAGTTAGATATTAAATTGGCTGAAAATGCAGGAGATTATGAGCCTTCTGCTCAAGATGAAATTCTTTCTGACTCTGAGTTATCAAGAACATACCTATCTTGAGTCCTCTGCCATCTCGTGTTAACTACAAAGAAGAAATGATATATCTTGGTTTTTATTACACAGAAAATTTGAGAGAAATGAGTTTATAGAGAACTGACTCAAAAAGAACTCGATCCTGTTGGGGGTCAAGACAATAAATATATTACTAATTCATGATTAAAAAAAAAAAAAAAAAAAAGCCCTGGACCAGATGGCTTTCTGGTGGAATTCTACAAAACATACAAGGGAGGAACTGACACCAATCCTATCGAAAGTATTCCAGGCAATTGAGAAAGATGGAACTCTCCCTAAATCATTTTATGAGTATCACACTGATACACAAACCGGGCAAAGACCCAACAAAGAGAGACCTACAGACAAATAAATATTCCTGACGAACATAGATGCAAAAATTCTTAAGATTCTAGCAAATTGGATCCAACAACACATCTCAAAAATTATTCACCGTGACCAAGTAGGCTTTATCCCCAGTAAGCAGGGCTGATTTAACATCTGTAAGACCATAAATGTAACCAAATACATCAACAGATGGAAAAACAAGAACCACATGATTATTATTTTTTTTTGAACCACATGATTATATCATTAGATGCAGAAAAGGCTTTTGACAAAATCCAGCATCGATTCTTGATAAAAACCCTTGAACACCTAGAGATAAAGGGAACATACTTCAAAATAGTAAAAGCCATCTACAATAAACCCACAGCCAACATATTACTAAATGGAAAGAAATTGGAAGCACGTTCCCTGAAGATTGGAACAAGACAAGGCTGCCCACTCTCACCCTTCCTGCTCAACATAGTGCTGGAAGTCCTAGCTAGAACAATCAGACAAGAGAAGGGTATCAAGGGTACCCAAATAGGAAAAGAGGAAGTTAAGCTATCACTCTTTGTGGATGACATGATCCTATATCTGGAAAACCCAAGGGAATCTGTCAAAACCATTCTTGCACTGATAAAGAACTTTGGCAAAGTCTTGGGGTATAAAACCAACATGCAAAAGACAGTAGCAGTTTTACACAACAAGAACAAACAGGCAGAATGCCAAATAAAAAGTACAGTCTCATTCACAATAGCCACCAAAAAAATGAAATACTTTGGCATCTTCCTGACCAGAGAAGTGAAAGAACTTTACAATGAAAAGTACAAAACATGGCTTGAAGAAATCAAAGGTGACACAAACAAATGGAAAAATATCCTATGCTCATGGATTGGAAGAATTAACATTGTTAATATGTCCATCCTACCCAAGGCAATCTGCAGACTCAAATATAATACCAATTAAATGATTACCATCATTCATCTCAGACCTGGAAATGATAATACAGGAACTCATAGGAAACAAAAATGACCACAAATAGTCAAAACAATCCTCATCAAAAGAAACAAAGGGGAAGGTATCACACTTCCAGATTTAAACTTTACTATAAAGTCACAATAATCAAAACAGTCTGGTATTGGTACAAGAACAGACAAATCGACTTGGAACAAGACAGAGATTCCGGAAGCAAAATCTCAATTTCTCAACTAACTCATCTTCAGCAAATCCTCCACCAACAACCATTGGGGACAGGAGAACCTGTTCAGTAAATGGTGCTGGGAAAACTGGCTGACCACATGCAGAAGAATGAAATGGGACCCCTACCTATCACCATACACAAAACCCAACTCTAAATGAATCAAAGACCTAAAAGTAAAACCCTCAATCTATAAGAATCTTAGAAAACACAGGAGACACCTTTATGGAAATTGGAATAAGCAACCAATTCCTGATCAAAACCCCAAACACCCATGCCATAACAACAAGTGGGACCTCATCAAATGGAAAAGCTTCTGCAAAGCAAAAGAAACTGTCAAGAGAGTGAGGAGACAGCCCTCAGAACGGGAAAAAATATTTGCCAACTGTATATCTGACAAAAGTCTAACATCCAGGATCAAGAAGGAACTCAAAAATGCCGAAAGGAAAAAACAAACAAAAATGTGGGCAAAAGTAATGAATAGACACTTCTCAAAAGAAGACATGTAAGCAGCTAACAGACACATGAAAAAATGCTCAGCCTCACTAATCATCAGGGAAATGCAACTGAGATACCACCTAACTCCAGTAAGACTAGCTGTCATTAATAAAACAAAAAACAACAGATGGTGAGGAGGATGCAGAGAAAAGGGAACACTTACACTGTTGGCAAAAGTGCAAACTAGTGTAACCTCTACGTAAAACAATGTGGTGATTCCTAAAAGTACTAGAAATTGACCTTTCATATGACTCAGCAATCCCCCTTCTGGGAATACACCCAGAGGAACTCACATCATTCTACAAAAAGATACCTGCACATGCAATGTTTATTGCTGCAGTATTCACAATAGCAAAAACATGGAACCATTGAAACTGGTCTGGATTAAAAAAAAGTGGTACATATACATGATGAAATATTACACATCCATAAAATAGGACAAAACTATGGACTCTGCAGTAACTTGGATGGATTTGGAGTCTTTCATACTCAGTGATCTCTCACAGAAACGAAGTGAGTACCACATAGCACTCCTGAGTGAACCCGCAACACCTAACAAAAATACTACAAGAAAGGGATTGGCAGGGGTAGGGCACTGCCAGGGAAGGGAGGAGGAAGGCCCATGAAATCATTAGGGGTTCCTGATCCTAATCTTTGTGGGTTGAGGGGCAGTGGGAAGCCCAAACTTCACCTGTATCTAGACCACTTATGTACCCAATCCTGACTTGTACTCCACTTCTTTAAAATAAAATTTAAAAAGCTGGACGCAGTGGCTCACACCTGTAACCTCAGCACTTTGGAAGACAAAGGCAAGAGGATTGCTTGAGTTCAAGGGTTCAAGACCAGCTTGGGTAACTTGGCGAGACCTTGTCTCTGCAATAAATTAAAAAATTAGCCAGGCATGGTGGCACACACCTTTTGGAAGACTGAAGCAGAAGGATCACCTGAGCTCAGCAAGTCAAGGCTGTGGTGCCTATGAGTGTGGCACTGCACTCCAGCTTGGGCGACAGAATCAGATTCCTACTAAAAAAAAAAGTGAAAATAAGATAATCTTCATGGGAATGTTTTTAACTGCAAATACAATTCCTTTTATAGATAAAAGGATATTTAGATTTTTAAAGTTTGTTGTTCAAGGAATTATTCCATTTCATGTAAGTTGTCAAACTTAATGGCATAAAGGTACCCCTAATATTCCTTAATCACTTTTTTTTTTTTTTTTGAGTTGGAGTCTCACTCTGTCACCCAGACTGGAGTGCAGTGGCCGCTCCCAGCCACCGCAGCCTCGTCCTGCTGGGCTCCGGCGATTCTTCCGCCTCAGCCTTCCAAGTAGCTGGAATTACAGGCGTGCGCTACCACGCCTGGCTAATTTTTTGATTTACTGTAGAGATGAGGTCTCGCCAAGTTGCCCAGGCGGGCCTCAAACCCGCGGTTAATCACATTTTTAAATGTCTGTAGGACCTGTAGCCATACCTCTCTTTCATTGTAAATATTGTTAATTTGTATTCTTTCTTGATCAGCTTGCTAGGTTTATCATTTTTAAATTTTGAGTGAACAAACTTTCCATTGTGTTTTCTCAATTGTTTTCTGTATCATTATGTTCTTACCTTCATTTTTTTCTTTTCTATTTATTTAATAACTTTATCTTATTATAGAGATGTGGGGTACAAGTCAGGATTAGGTACATCAGTAATATGCATGCAGGTGAAGTTTGGGCATCCAACCAGTCCTCACTTTCCCTGGTTTAGGACCAGGTACCCTTTATGTTATTACATGTTCTCCTCTTCCTCCCGTGGCAGTATCCCATTAACTGCTGATGTCTCCCTTGTGCTATTCTGATGAATGCTCAGGTCCCACTTATGAGTGAGAACATGTGGTATTTGGTTGTTTCTGTGATAGATCACTAAGTATGATTGTCTCCAACTCCATTCTATTTATTTTTAGCTTCTTATGGTGTAAACTAGGGTCAACTGATTTTAAACTTTTTCTTTACTAATACAAAGCATTTAAAACCATGAATTTCCCTCTAATTACTGCTTTTTCTGCATATCACAAAGTTAACTGTTGTGTCCTTATTACCAATTAAAAATATTTTTTAAAGGCCCTTTTAATGTATTCTTTGGCCCAGGAGTTATGTAGCAGAGTTGTTTGATATTTAAAGACTACCTGTAGTTATGGTATCATTGATATTTAATTACATTGTGGTCAGATAACATATTGCAAGATGACTTCAGTCTTTTGAAATTCCTTATGACCTAAATTGTGGCCCAGCATATGGTTTATAAACATTCCAGTGTACTTGAAAAGAATGTGTAGTTCTGCAGTTGCTGGGTATTCTTTAAGTGTCAGTTTAAGTCAAGTTGATTGTTGACATAATTCAAATCTTCCATATATTTACTGATTTTTGGGGTCTCTTATTTTTTCAATTACTAAAAAATTGTGGATTTTTAGATTTCTCTCTAGTTCTGTTAGTTTTTACTTCATGTGTCTAAAGTCTGTTTTTGGTGTATACACATCCTGGAGTATGTCTTCCTATTGAATGAATCCGTTTACCATTATGAAACACTCTTCTTTATCTCTGACAATACTCCTTTTGTCAGATCTACTTCACCAGGTATTAGCCATAACCTTGCTGCTTTTTTTGCTTGGTATATAAGTTTCCATCCTTTTTACTTTCAATCTGTTGGTATCTTTATATTTAAAAAGTATGTCTCACTGTTTCTGATTAGAAATAAACCTTTTGGATCATTGTTCCAGTAGAAGACCTTTTCTCTGTCTGCTCTAATCTATCTTGGGTTTTGGGGATTTTCACTACTATATGCCCAAGTAGGATAGTCTTTGTATTTATCCTGTTTACAGTTCACTGAACTTAGAAAAAGCTACAGGTTGTCATTTTCTTCAGCAAATTTTGACTATTTTAAGCCATCAGCACTTTTCTCCCTGCCCCATTTTCTCTTTCTTCTCCTCTTAGTGTTGTTCCACAGATCTT